GATGAGAGACATGAGACCGAACAATGCAGAAGAGCTGAAGGCCGCTATTGAAGCATCCTGGTCTTCCATAACACCTCAGCAGTGCCACAGGCTGATAGCTTCCATGCCACGCCGCATTGAGGCAGTAATTGCTGCAAAAGGGGCCCAAACCAAGTACTGAGTACATATGCATGCTTATACTTTTCAGAGGTCTGATATTATTCTATGTACAATCCTTGTTTTATTGATTGCATGTAATATTCTAATTTTCTGAGATTGTGGATTTGGGGTTTTCATGAGCCATAATCACGGCTTGAACTATCTTGCTTTGCATGTAATGAGTCTATCTCATATATTAGGTTCACCTTTTAAATTGCATTACTGAAATAAATGAACTTTTACACGATATTCTAATTTTTCGAGTTTCACCTGTATATAATAGTTTTGAAAATACAAGTCTCAGGTATATTCATATTCAAAAACTAAAACATAGATCACCAAGACTGAAGAATTTATTTAAAAACTTAGCTTGAACATACTAATACGTCGCGGACTTCCGGTGGTGTTAGGCTGCACCAATGGCGGCTTTTGTTAGCCGCCCGCCTGGGAGCGCGTCAAAGCCTGAAGAGACAGCGTGCAACAGCTGTCTCTCGGCTAGGAACCCCGTCCCTCGGGCGAAGAGGGGGGGTGAGCAGTCCGGATAGGCTTAGAGCTCCCTCTCACCCCGGTTTTTCTCTGATCGGGGTTGGGGGGTGAGAGCTCAGCCGGAGTCTGGACGTTCTCCGCGCCCCAGGACGCCTTCGTTCCTTTCTTTTGGAGCGAAGCCAGATGCAGCGCCCACCTCTGCTACTGAAAGCTACTTGGATTTAAATTACAAGCAGACGGAACTAAGCAGGAGGTTTGGAGTAGTTTCGGCTTATGTGGAATTTTGATTTTGAACTAACATCTTCCTTTTTGGTGGGGACTTAAAGTGGAAAGAAAAGGGCTGCTTGCCGTTTCTTTGGAGCTGATAAAAAACTTTCGCTTTTTACTTTCACTCTCTTCTGGTTACTAACTGGATAGAGATATATTGTGGTTTTTTTCGGTTTTCGGAAAGTTTTAGTTGCAAAGAATTTGCAATGTCTATTTGTTGGTGATACTTATTATTTTTATGGATTATTGAAGTGTTTTTCAAAGAAGTTTGAAGAATGGCTTTAAAATGGCTGCAGAATTGTGAAAGAAAGAAAGAAAGAAAGAAAAATCCATGCTTCTTTTTTGCTGGCTAAATAAGTTTTATAGTTCCAGATTGTACAGAGCAACGGGTGGATA